ATCAATAACTATCATCTCAATTAAGGCCCTCCTAACAACTTCTTGTTCAAATTTCCAAATTGATCCTTCGTCATTTTGGCAAGATTGAAAATTTATCTTTGTTTGACTATTATCTTTATCAATGTTAAGTGGGTATTCTTTGCATCTAAGCAAATGATTCTTCAATCCTGTTGTTCCATTCCTAGATGAATTAGCCGCATAGGCTTGTTTACAATATCGACATCGTGCTTTCCCAACCCCATTAACCTCAAATTTATCAAAATGGTTCCAAACGTCAGACCTAGGTTGCATGGTTTTCCTTTTTTTGGAATCTTGGGTATCAATGGTGTTGGTGTTACTATCTACCGTAATAGGTAAACTTTCACTTGAACCAGCATCACTTACTCTACTTGTATCTGCCATCTATACAAAATTAAACAAATATAAACACAAATTAACAATCATGGGGTACAATCATAGGCATTTAGCTATTTACAAAGTTGATCAAGGTTACAAATATAATCAAAGGGAGCAGAAAAGTGGGAGCAGAAACACCTTAATTGAATATCGTGTTTAAATACTGATTTTTAGTTCAAATACTATCTCATAATCCTAATTTGGTATCATGCCCCATTCACAGTGTTTCATATGCCAACTTAACAAGAAAGCCAAACAGATTTTAGCATGCTAGTTACCTAAGCAGACATAAGGATGAATGAAAAGAAACTGTTATAAAGTAATTTGTAAACACCTAACATAACTTATGTTTCTAGATCTAATAACCTGACAAGGAAATAATGAAGCTAGAACTAATACATTTCACAGTTTCAATACATAAACCAATCGTGGAGAAGAACATATTCATGACATGAAATAGCTCAAATCATCTCATCCTCATTCGTTATCGTGTCAAGAATTACTGTATTGAACTATTGATTGAGGGAGTTATCTGGATAGCAGAAAAATGAACAAATACAGATTACAGAACAGCACATCGCAAATTAGAACAGAACAGATACAGAACAGAACAAATCCAAAAATGGATTTTGGGGCGATTTCCGACTTCGCACTTCGCAAAGTCGAGAAGTGGACAGCAGAACAGCACAGGCAGCAAAACAGCAAAAACAACAACTATAGTAGATTTCGAACCCAAGAAAATGACCAGAAACACCCAATAGTACAACACTTCAAACTAGAAATCTTCATCAAATTCATTTCCATCGCTAGAAAATAGAAATCGCTAGAAAGTAGAAACATACCTTTGAAAATTGAAGACTGGGGAGTGAGGAGTCGGAGCTGCGAAGTGCGAAGTCGGAAATCCCCCCAAAAATCCAAATCGCCGACGCCAAATCGTAGCAGGGCTGCAGCAGTCTGCTGAGCTTGAGCAGATGAAACTTGTCAATTGAAATTATCGTCTTTACTCATGCCCTAACTCTAACTATTAACCAGCTAACAAAAGATGGGTGGGCTTGGGCAGTTGGGCTGGGCTGGAAATAAAATAAAGAAGGGTGGGTGGGCTTGGGCGTTGGGCTGGGGATGGGCAGTGGCCTTTTAAAAATCGATATTTCGGTTATACCGAAATACCGAAATTTCAGATTTCTAAAACCGAGTCCCGAACCGAAATACCGAAATACCAAAAATTTAGTACCGAATTAGACCGAAATACCGAAAAAAACCGAAACCAAAATACCGAAATAATTCGGTCCGGTTCGGAATTCGATTTTTCGGATTTTATGCCCACCCCTAGATGTAGGCAACCTACGCTGATACAAGCATCACTGACTGATTCCACACCGGGTTTCATTTCCTCTCCAAGCCAATCGATCGCCTTTTCACAAAGTTTATAATAAAATAGTACGAGTTGTAAAAGCGTAAGAGCTATATAGAACCACCTTTGGCGCCTTCCCGCCCCTTTCTGCACAAGCATCTGTTCTTCTCCTGAGATCCAGGTTTCTACACGATGATTTGTTCTGTCCTCACTTCCTTATTCTGGGAATTGGCAACATTGAAAGAAAGGGTAAGGGGTAGGAATTAACTTTTTTAGGTGTTGCTCTACTAAAGTGGTCGGCCTAACCTGAGCATCATACGTTCACTTCGTTTTTTGAAATCTTTGACCTATAGCATTACTCCAAGGCTCCCCTTTAAGTTAACAAATGGTTAAACTAGAAAGAAAAAGAAAAGAATGGTTAGTTGAAGTAATCCATAGAATTACCTACATCTCATGTATACTATACAGTATAATTCTACGAAAAAATAACCTTACCTTGCGCTGCCAAGCAACTCGAAGAACCAATCAGTTGGTTAATATGAAATTGACAATTAGTAGTATAATGATATTTGACATGGCTTACATCTTCGGGAAATTTTTCTTTTCTTCTATAATTCCTCTTTTTCAAAAATGGTTCAAGCTGACTGAACGAGGAATTAGAGCTATTAAATCATTTTAGATCGTTTCAAATGGAACGATGAAAAACCAGTTACATTGGATGTTTTGCTCCTTATTCCAAACTGAGTAACGTGGTTCTTTGTTCTGGAAAACCAGTTAATAATTACAAGTTCACATATTTTAGTATTCGGAGGTAATAAATCTCAACAAATACGTGGGAATGATTTTCATTTAAGATCCTAAGAAAACCGGATCTCAAGGGAGGTACAAAGTCCAAACTATCATTATTATGAGTATTATGTAAAAATTGCCCCTCTTTAACCTGTAGCCGCTTTGTCTTTTTGTTTGCATCCATACCCACTTTTTAAAAAACTTCAGCTTCCCTTTATAACTGAGAAACTTCAGCTCTAGAGCTGAAGTTTCCGGGTTACTAAACAAAAACTTCAGCTCTAGAGCTGAAGTTTTTATTTTATAACTAGAGCTGAAGTTTCCGGGTTACTAGACAAAAACTTCAGCTCTAGAGCTGAAGTTTTTATTTTATAACTAGGAAACTTCAGCTCTAGCTGAAGTTTTTATTTTATAACTGGCAAACTTCAGCTCTAGAGCTGAAGTTTTTATTTTATAACATAGAAACTTCAGCTCTAGAGCTGAAGTTTTCCAGTTACAACACAAAAACTTCAGCTCTAGAGCTGAAGTTTTTCAGTTACAACACAAAAACTTAAAATTTTTATTTTATAACTGGAAAACTAGAGCTGAAGTTTTTATTTTATAACTGGAAAGAGCTGAAGTTTTTGTTTTATAACTGGAAAACTTCAGCTCTAGAGCTTAAGTTTTCCAGTTATAAAATAAGAACTTCAGCTGGAAACTGCTTAAGTTTTCATTTTATAACTGGAAAACTTAAGTTGGAAACTGCTTAAGTTTTTATTTATAACTGGAAAACTTAAGCTGGAAACTGCTTAAGTTTTTATTTCTATAACTTGGAAAACTTAAGTGGAAACTGCTTAAGTTTCTATTTTATAACTAGAAAACTTAAGCTCTAGAGCTTAAGTTTTTATTGTATAACTAGAAAACTTAAGCTGGAAACTGCTTAAGTTTTTATTTTATAACTGGAAAACTTAAGCTGGAAAACTGCTTAAGTTTTTCGGTTACAAAGACAAAAACTTCAGCTGAAGTTTTCCCGTACAAAAGAAAAACTTCAGCCCCGTGGGCTGAAGTTATGTGAAAAAGCGGGTACGCTTGCAATTTGTTTTGCAAAACGGGCACAAGTTAAAATGTGGCACAAAAAACGGGTATAGATGCAAATGCTCCGAGTATTATGGTAAAATATGTACTTAATTTATTAATTTTTAAGAGAAGTGCAAAGTCTATTTATTACAAGTAAAAGTTAGATTATGGAGGGAATATTTATGAGATTATGGGTATGTTTGGTATGAAGGAAAACATTTTCCCAATTTTCCCATGTTTGGTTGGCTTAAATGTTTTGGAAAATATTTTCTTTATGAACTCATTTTCCTCCAATTGGAGGAAAATCAAGAGAAGGGAAAACATTTTCCAAAACTTCTTCTCAACCTTCCCTACCCTCACCACCCCCCCACCCCACCCCTCTCTCCAAAAAGGTTTTTTTTCAACTTCTCGTTACCACCCACCCCTAGTACCCCTCCCCCACCCTAACCCCCCCCCCCCCGAAAAAATATACTTACTCTGTTCCAATTTATGTGAACCTATTTCCTTTTTGGTCCGTTCCAAAAAGAATGAACCCTTTCTAAATTTGATAACAATTTAGCTTAAACTTACAATTTTACCCTTAATGAGAAGCTTTTATAACCTCAAAAATACTCTGTGCCCCTTTTTGACTTGTTTAGGACCACAAATTCCAAAAGTCTTCATTTTTTCTTAAACTCCGTGCACAGTCAAACAGGTTCACATAAATTGGAACGGGGGGAGTATTTTTTAATATATTTTTCAGTTTTAGTTTTTTTATTTATCGATTTAAAGGTTCAAAATTTTACAAGTTCCAAAGTTAGTTTGGAGGTTTATGTGTTTGTAAGTTTACGGCTTTAGAAATTATAAAGTTCACGGATTAGAAATTCCACGGTTTCGAAAGCTTAGCGGTTCGAAAGTTTATGAAAAATGTGGGTTCGGAAGGTTGTAGGTTTGAAAGTTTATGGCTTCATGTTTATTATATCTAAATTGTTTATTAATGCTCTTGAGAAGTCATTTTCCTTAATTTGCGTACCAAACCCCGGAAAATGAATAAGATTACTACTTGTTTTCCAAGAAAATATTTTCTTGGAAAACATTTTCCGTTATACCAAACACACCCTATGTACTCAAGATTTTGAACAAGAATTACCATCCAATTTTCACAATTCGTCTTGTAAACGAATTTTAGCATAGTACTGTACCTTGTAGTGGTTTTTTGGTTTTTGTGTAATTTCCTTGAATTAGCTGTTCACCCCTGCATCCGCACCTAGTCCCAGTCATGTATATGACTCTCCTTCCTCATTCCTGTAGAATATGCCCCTAACATGTCTAAACTTATTCCCGGATGTGTCTATATTTCTGTGCGCATAATTATAAACTAAACTCATGAATATTGGAAAATAGGGAGACCCTGATTCATACAAAGGGGAAATCTTCATGTTATGGGGTGGAGGGGCACGTCATAGCCTAAATTAGAACATTTTAGGCCCAAGCATAGCTAAAACTTAGACTCGAAATATAGTGTGCCAACTCATGGAGTTCGACAGGATAGACAAATTCTTAAGCTGAACCACTTACTAAACTATAGAGAAAAATTTATAAAAAGAGTGGTAATTTGTCCAACTAGTAATTAGAATTGGTGAGCTCAATCATCCGGGGGGTAACCGGCTAGGCAAAAAGTTGGTCAAGATAGTCCAATAAAGGCATAGAGCCTCAGGTCCAGACTGTGTTCTGTGATATTAGTGGATGAAATACATACAGTAAGTGCATCTTGGGTAGAGAACCTGAAAGTGATGAAGATGAATCAAAACACTACGGCTTAAAAATACACTTGACTAGAACCAGCTCGGCTAAGCAGTTTTGGCCTTCAATTCAGGTCGAAATTCAAGACTGCATTGGACTTTGAAGTTAGATACCACATCTCATAAAGATAATCGAGTATTGAGTTCTGACTCAGTAGTTACTACTCCTGCATAGCAGTTCAAACATGAAAAGCAAAACACCCCTTGAAGTTTCTGTATACAGTCTGGTTCTGACTTGGATTAAAATCTCAACAAGAGTACATCCAACAATGAATCCTCTTCCAAGTCCTGTCATTTGTAATACCTGTTGTACCAGTGCCGAGTTCTTGGCTTGGGCCAGGGCTTGGCATCGACAAATTTCACAACGACGTGTGAAGAAGTTCTAGGAAACTTCAAGACCTCCGTAGATGTCTCTTCTGATCTATCAGCATAGCTGGCCCAAACAATCGTCAGTTTTTCCAATACCCGCGCATTCTTCAGAAAAAACCTTAGTAGTTCTATCTCGTTTTTGTCATCTTTGAAACCAATCAACTCAATTGACTTTAGATGAGATTCCAAGCACACAATGATTTCATCAGGATCATGCATCTGCAAATTCTCAATCCAGTCTCCATTCTAGCAGACAGTTCAGAGTCAGAAGAGAAACCACTTCATCGAGCACAGTAAACACTTAAATTGAAATAGCAATAAATAAAAATAAGCAATCATTCAGCAGCATATGCAACCATTTCCACCATTACAAGTAAAAATCCCAAAAAACACACTTTTAAAATGATTTGCACTATTTCCTTCTCTTTGTTCTATTTTCCACTTGGCGTCACTGATGCGTTAGAAGTTCTAGTAAACAGTTGATATTTCAGAGCGTAGTACCTACTATACAAACCATGTCACTCCATCCAATCAACATCTTCGCCATTTCAGGTAATCTAAAACAGCAATCCCCTCATTAAGCCAAGTGATACTTATGCTCGCATGAAAACATTTGAAACACACATCGCCGAAGTTCAAGCGTTGATCTAATTTTAGAATCTATCAGAGTCAATCATGAATCTATTTTCTGTACAAGGGAAATGAATTCATTTGGGTAAACTCTCGTTGCAATAAAGCTCAGCTTAGGACTAAATTTAGATTAATATGCTGGCAGTTTCCAGGGCCAAGCTACTGTTCAGGACCAGATTTGCAAATTTCTCCTTCATTTATCAACTCAATGCTCCCTAAAGCTGTATCATCATCTCAGTTCTCAGAGTTTCCCCGCATCAATTCACAGCTCAAATCTATTTCCACCATTAAGTTCCATGCAGCAGATATGAATAAGATCAATGGCATTAGCAATAGGTGATACTTGCCAACTCCCAGAGTGAATGTTAAAAGTTAAAATTGATCATTAGCCAAATCTTATCCCTTTCATTATGGCATGTTTATCATTTTGTTGAGTGGAATTTTGCTTGTACAGTTCTTTTTACTTGAATATAGGTTTATAGTTTAGCATTATTGTAATGAAATTGAAGGGGAGCTTTGGAGCAATAGTAAAGTTGTCTCGGTGTGACCGGGTCACACTTTCGAGCAATGGAATCAGCCACTGACCCTTGCATCAGGCAAGGCTGTCTACATCACACCCCTTTGGAGTCCGGCCCTTTCACGGGCCTTGTGTGATTAATGTTGGCTGCCCCCCTTATAATTGCAATGATGTCAAATTGTCCTTGTAAAGTATAGTTACAAAACTTAAGAAAATAGTTTTCATTTCCCATCTCATGGAAAACCCTTTTCGCTCCGCTTAGCCTTATCCCCCTCTAGGGGTATTTTAGTGATAGGTTCTATAGGAACTGGACGATCCTATTTGGTCAAATACCTAGCGACAAACTCCTATGTTCCTTTCATTACGGTATTTCTGAACAAGTTCTTGGATAACAAGCCTAAAGGTTTTCTTCTTGATGAGATCGATATTGATGATAGTGACGATATTGATGATAGTGACAATCTTGATGCTAGTGACGATATCGATCGTGACCTTGATACGGAGCTGGAACTGCTAACTAGGATGAATGGGCTAACTATGGATATGATGCCGGAAATAGACCGATTTTATATCACCCTTCAATACGGTGTTCCTCTTCTCGTACATTTGAATCCAGAAGTACCGGCGGAGGACCAAGAAACTACTCGACCCCGTACATCTGTAACAGTGACAATGGTATTATTGAAACTTGCTTGAACATGAATAACTCCCTTTGGTATTCTACGTGCACCCTTACGTGAACCAATACGTCCATTCCTACGCGAACTAATTTTCGGTATAGCTTTTGCCATATTTTATCATCTCGTAAATATGAGTCAGAGATATATGGATATATCCATTTCATGTCAAAACAGATTAAGTACTTCCAACCAACTAGCATATACAGAAACGGAATTTGTACAGGAGTCGAGCATTACCTCATCAGACCACAATTTAAGAACCTCCAGATTAGGAGAATACTTGAGTAATACTATCATAACTTGCATGAAATCTTCATCAACAACCACATCCAGCTTTAAGGTCTTCAGCTTATAAAAGAGATTGGATCGAGTCTTACTTTGCGAACCGCTTCATAAAGACCCTACAGCAGCCAAAAAAGAAGAAGAAATGAGAGTGTTTTTCGATAACCACTTGTGAAATTCTTTAGTAAAGATATCAATTGGAAAACTACAAACAAGATCTCACAATGACTTCGAGTTATTTAGACTGTATATTTTTCTAGATAAGTACTTAGAGTGCATATACAATCTAAGCAATCAAACAATGTACTTACACTTTATATATTCTTAATACTTCTATTTCCCTTTTATGCTTAACCTAAAGAGAGAACTTTACCCAAATAGTCGGCTTGCATAGCTTCAAAACTGATGTAGAAGGAACCTCCTTGATCAGCTTATGCACAAATATGGCATTTTCTTCACGTGAACCGTCCATATCAATAAAGAAGATGCGAACGTCTTCTATTGAAAAGAGATTCTCGAAGATTATATCCTTTGGCATTGGAGCTTTATACTTTAAGAACTTGAGATTGGGGCAACAAATTCTGACTTCACAATTGCAGTAACTCTCCACATAATTATTGCCATCTACTAAAGTAAAATAAATAAGAGATGTTGAAGCAATATCAAGTAGAGTCATAGCTCCTAAACTACATTCCTCTAAGATCAACCTTTCAAGGAGATGACATTTTGAGAACAAGCAACTTGTCAAATGCTCGTCTGACAACTCGACCTCCTCAAGATGAAGCAATTTCAGCTGATGAAATCCCAAATGATTAGGCAGTTTAAGTATGTTCCCGGACAAGTGTAGTTTTAAGATTTGCAAAGATTCACAAGTTGCAAGACAATGGTAACTCAAATGGCTCACCAAGATTAAAACTTAATACAAGCTCTTGAACCTTTCGCCTTGTTGTCACATGAATCCACCGCAAAATAGCAAACTTACCAAAGATATTGTTACAACAGAGAAGAAACCGGACAAGTTTAGTGGCGCTTTGGGAAATTAAGACCCAATTGATAAAGTCCTTGAATTTCTCAACCATTGCCGAGTCACAAGGCCGATTGATCCGTTGTGGATAAAATCGATCAAGATCAAAGTGCAAGTAAGGCATAGTAGTCCACATATATTTCCATCTTTTAGACAATAAACTCAACTGAACCACATCAAAAATAAAGAGAGATGAAAGAATTTTGTGCAGGATATCATCTGGCAATGAGCTAATTCTATCAATCCCTTTACTAAGTGGGTGGAAGCCACAAATCTTAGGTTTTCTGGTTGACGTTTCCATATATCTTTCGATTAAAACGCAAAAAAATACCAAGAAATTACCCAAATAGCAAAACTCAAGGAATGGAGTTCTTCACAGTCATCTCGGGAACTTATTGTAGAGAGGACGAGAACGACGGAGACGCGTCTGTGCCGCTGTGAAAAGGATTTCCCGCCTTTGGGGAAAAACATGAAGAAATAAATGACACTTTATTAACCTATTACTAGAAAACCCTCTATTTATATTTATATTTTGGTTTAACCATTAACCCTACTAGTGCGACTAATCGGGCTTCGTGTCGAGTAGGCCCATTGAGAGGTAAAAGGCTTGGGAAAATAACAAGGGGGATTTGGGCGCATTTGCATCTATACCCGCTTTTTGTGTTACGTTTTAACTTGTGTCTACTTTGCAAAAAAAATTGCAAACGTACCCGCTTTTTCGCACAACTTCAGCATACGGGGCTGAAGTAGCAAAGGCAATCACGCAAAACTTCAGCATTCTAGTAGTCGGGCCTGAAGTTCAGCTCTAGAGCTGAAGTTTTTGTTTTGTAACTGGCGAACTTCAGCTCTAGAGCAGAAGAGCTGAAGTTTTTGTCTTTGTAACTGGCTGAAGTTTTTGTCTTTGTAACCGGAAACTTCAGCTCTAGAGCTGAAGTTTTTGTTCTATATTTGATTAACTTCAGCATGTTTATGCTATCTGATCCAATCGTACTAAATAGTAAAAAGAGTTGAATCTAAGAGTAAGCAGACCTGCAGGCAAACCGAATACAACAGCTTGCCCGACGCAATCTTTGCTGCTAAAGCACTAAATGTGCTGCGTTTGGATGGATTTAATATTGAATTGCCTTCTGATAGGTATAAAGTTTTCATCTTTGCGATACGAGTCCAAGTTAATATGACACCTGTGTGTGTCAATTTTGTATGAACTTCATATATTACTTAATTCTGGTTAGTTGATCTGAAATGGTTATACTATGCTAAATTGCTAGTAACAAAAATTGAAACCACCGTAGTAGCGTAAACGTTTTGGTCCCAAACAAATCACCTTGTAATTATTTTCACGGAATTTACTGCGTGTAATGAAATAAATACAGAAATAGAAATTTGTAATCATCCCATGATCTGAAGTTCCATAGCAGCACCAACAGCAGCAGAAGAAAGAAAAAGAAGAAGAAAACGAAGGAGGAGGAGGAGGAGGAGGAGAAAGGGGGCTGAAGTTATTTAAAAAGTGGGTACAAGTTAAAAGTTTTAAAAAAATGGGTATAGGTTAAATGGGGGTGACCAAATAGGGCGCCCCGTGCAATTTTTAAAAATAACAACCATTAACCCTACTAGTGCAACTAATTGGGATTCGTGTCGAGTAGGCCCATTGGGGGTAAAGGCTTGGGAAAATAACACTATATAGCCGCTCTCAAAATNGGAAAATGACATTGCATAGGCGCTCTCAAAATAATATATATATATATATATATATATATATATATATATATATATATATATATATATATATATATATATATATATATATGCACACACACACCACATTTTGTATGTTATACATAAAATTATGCAATTTTATACACTTTTTTGGCTACCAAATACAAATACTTTCTGGTGCGGGCTAAAAGTAAAAAATACCCTAAAGGCTTCCTGCCAAGAAATTCTCCATTTTCAAGATTCAAATTGAAGACTTCCGATATCCTGACCGTATTACCACATGATGGTATACGTATATCAAATTCTTATTACTCATCCCACTTACTAGGTGAATTTTCTATTTGCGACATTATAATATTTCATCAAAGTTCTAATTGATTAGGTATTAATATTTCATGAATCTTCTTTAAACAGGTAATAAGTTATTAAAAATCTACAACCTTCTCTCCTCTATTACTTGATGTTTTGATCATTTCTTTTTTACTATCCCTTTTACACTTTTTAATGCCTTTGAAAGACTAGTCCTTAGTGGGCGTGTATGAACTTCAATACTTTGACAATATTTTTCTCAATTCAAAACTTCTAATACTAATTTTTTCAACTTCCAACATATATATATTGTTCAAATGCCAACTTAATTTTTGGGGGAAACCTAATATTGTTCAGATTTTTTTTTTCCAGCCTAATATTGTTCAGATGCCTACTTAATTTTGGGGAAAACCTTTACATTTTTTCCTTTAAATAAAAAATGTTGATATCTTATAGTAACATTCAAAGAAGGGTTTCAAGTAATGTTTCTTATTTTCTTCTTCTCTATGATGCAAAATTCAACTAACGAATAATCAAGCTTGAGATCTGAAGGGAGATTATCATGGAACTAGGAATGAATGTAAGATTAAGAATAAGAGTATAGAAGATGCATGTACTTGTGTGGTTTCTCATTTCTTAAAAATGCTGTCCGTGAATATTTGAGCTAGAGAGTGTGTTGTATAAAGATGAGCAACGAACAAGAAATGGCCATATTCGCTGAGCTTATCAACTCTGACCCAACAGACATCAATCCCTTTACACATTAAGAAATGTTTCTATGAAATCCATATTGATTACAGACCAAACAATGTGAATAAAAAGGGGTTGCAGAAAACATTGGTATGCTGAAACATCATAATTGACTTTTTGATATTTGTAACCTCTTGGGGTGCAGCACTTTTCCCGAACCCTGCGTGAATACGGGATGCTTCGTGCACCGGGCCGCCCCTTTAAATAAAGTTAACCACATCCTGCTTGATACTTTCCCATAGAAAAAAGACATGACCTTCTTAGTTACTCTATAGCAGTTCAAACATGAAAGGCCAATAGAAGTTTCATAAACATCACAATTCCATGTAATTTCTTATACAGTCTGGTTCTGATTTGGACCCTGAAGAGAATCTCAATAAGAGTACATCCAGAAATTCTAATAATCCTCTCCCAAGTCGAGTCATTTTTTATATCTATTGTACCAGTTAGGACAACTTGGTATGGGCTTGGCATCAAGAAATGTCAGAACAACATGTGAAGAAGTTCTTGGAAACTTCAAAACCTCCTCATTTGCATCTTCTGATTTATCAGCATCTTCGTCCTAGACAATCGTCAGTTTTTCCAATACTCGTGCATTCTTCAGAAAAAACTTTAGTAGTTCTATCTCGTTTTCTTCACCTTCGAAACCAGTCAACTTAATTGACTTTAGACGAGATTCCAAGCACACGATGCTTTCATCAGGATCAAGCAGCTGCCAATTCACACTCCAGTCCTCAATCTAGCAAACAGTTGAGAGTCAGAGGAGAAACCACTTCATCAAGCACAATATAATCTTAAGTCGAAACAACAATAAATAACAATAAGCAATCATTCAGCAGTGTCCCTTCATATTCTTAGATTTTTATTACATTATGTGGTTTTGTTCGCCTCAGGTATTGTATTCCCCGTTGCTATTATTTGGTACTACTTATCCCTTATCTCTCCCTTTTTCTTTTCTCTTCCTTCTTTCTTCCTTCCTTGCTTTCCTCTTCTTCTTGCCCTTCCTGAGCCGAGGGTCTATTGGAAACAGCCTCTCTAACTGCATTAGGTAGGGGTAAGGTCTGCGTACAGACTACCCTCCCCAGACCCCACCTATTGGGATTATACTGGGTTTGTTGTTGTAGTTGTTGTTGTTGTTGTTGTTCACCAGTGTAATCAAGCATTCTCAATTAAAAGTTAAATTTCAAACAGGATTTACTTCCAAAATGTTTTGTACCATTTACTTCTCTTTGGAATTTTTCGTTTTCCCCTAGGCATCACTGACGCATTAAAAGTTCCAGTGATCAGTTCATAATTCTGAGTATGATACCTTTTTTTTTACAAGGTAAGGTGCAGTATCATACCTACTATTCAGATCATGCCATCCATCTAACGAATATCTTCTTTTGATAACCGAGAAATTCCTGAGATGAATGGCACAAGGTTCGAAACTCGGTGGATAATAGGCTCACCCCTCTACCTTTCTCCACTTAAATGGCAGGCATTTAGTTTTATCAGCGGCAGGGTTTGAACGCGAGACGTGAGCCTAACCCACACAACCCAAACTATGCTCTTACCACTATATCAAAGCATCTAACGAATATCTTACTCTTCTCAGGTCATCTAAATAAGCAATGCCCACATTAAGCCAAATGAATTTATACTAGTGCTCCCTTTTGACCAGATCCCTTGCTCATAAAAACATTTGGAACATATATCTACAAAGTTCTAGAGTTGAAATGAGTTAATTTCAGAATCTATTTCTATCAGTTATGCATCTTTCTTTACAAAGGAATGAATCAATTTGTGTAAGCTCTTGGCAATCAAGCTCAACTTAGAACCAACTTGAGATGCTATGGTTGCTGGAAAACTTTAATTTTCAAGATACTGTTCAGGACCAGATTTACAGTTTCTCCTTCGCTTATCAACTTAATGCTCCCTAAAGATATACCATCATCTCAACTCTTCTCAGACTTTCCCCACACCACTTCACAGGTTCAAACCTATTTCAGCCATGAAGTTCCATGCGGCAAACATGATTAAATTCAATGGCATGAGTAAACAGGTCATACTTGCCAACTTCCAAAGTGAATGTTAAAAGTTAAAACCGATTTAGTAAGATCCTCCCTCACAATGTGGCATGTTTATCATTTTGGTGAGTGGATTTTTTGCTTGTTTGGGTCTGATTTACTTGAATATAGGACTGAAGTTTAGCGTTATTGCAATGACATTGCAGTTATAAGTCAACTTTTCCTTTGGAAAGTTTCGTGATGTTAGTTTTCAGGCCTAGTTTCACCACCTTCTGTTCTTGAAAGAATCCTTTCAAGTAAATCAGCCTCTAGTTTTACTTACAAGTCCTTCCAACCAGCTAGCATATAAAAGAAACGGAATTTGTACCGAAGAATTTGTGGAAAAGATGACGAGCATTACCTCATCAGACCACAATTTAAGAACCTCCAGATTAGGAGAATACCTGAGTAATAATATCATAACTTGCATGAAATCTTCATCAACATTCACGTAGAGCTTTAAGGACTTCAGCTTATAAAAGGAGATTGGAGAGAGTCTTACTTTGCGAACTGCTTCATAAAGACCCTACAACAGCAAAAAGGAAGAAATGAGAGTGTTGAAATTCTTTAGTAAAGAGATTAATTAAAAAGCTACAAACAAGATAAGTACTTAGACTGCATATACAATCTAAGCATTCAAACAATGTACTTACACTTTATATATTCTTAATACTTCTATTTCCCTTTTATGCTTAACCTAAAGAGAGAAATTTACCCAAATAGTCGGCTTGCATAGCTTCAAAACTGATGTAGAAGGAACCTCCGTGATCAGTTTATGCACAAATATCAATGAAGAAGATGCGAACGTCTTCTATTGAAGGGAGATTCTCGAAGATCATATCCTTTGGCATTGGAGCTTGATATTTGAAGAACTTGAGATTGGGGCAACAAATTTTGACTTCACAATTGCGGTAACTCTCCACATAATGATTGTCATTTGCTAAAGTAAAATAAATAAGAGATGTTGAAGCAATATCAAGTAGAGTCATAGCTCCTAAACAACAATCTTCTAAGATCAAAGTTTCGAGGAGATGAGATGAGAACAAGTAACTCGTCAAATACTGGTCCGATAACTCGACCTCCTCAAGATGAAGCAATTTCAGCTGATGAAATCCCAAATGATTAAGCAGTTTAAGTATGTTAATTTCTAGACAAGTGTAGTTTCAAAACTTGCAAAGATTCACAAGTTGCAACACAATATGGTAGCTCAAATGGCTCACGGAGATTAAACGCTAACACAAGTTGTTGAACACTGCGCCTTTGTTGTGGCAAGAATCAACCTCAAAATGTCTACCTTACCAAACAAATCAGCACAACACAAAAGAAAACGGACAAGTTTAGTGGCGCTTCTGGAAACTAAGACCCAATTGATAAAGTATTTGAATTTCTCAAAAACTGCCAAATCACAAGGCTCTTTGATCCGTTCACAATAAAAGTTACAAAGATCAGAGTGCAGGTAAGGCATAGTAGTCCATATGTATTTCTATCTTTTCGACAATATACTCAGCTGAACCACATCAAATATACAGAGAGATGAAAGGATGTTGCGGAGTACAGCATCTGGCAATGAACTTATCCTATCAATCCCTTCACTTGTACTGCCGGAAATCATGGGTTTTTTCGTTGATGTTTCCATTATATATTCCCATTTGAACAATTACAAAGCTGAAAATACCAAAAAAATTACCTTGCCTCGAAGATTTGATAGGTCAAATAGCAAAACTCAAGAATGGGTTTCTTCGCAATCATCTTTGGAACTAAAGGCCACCAGTCCGTATGAGCCGATGTAGAGAGAAGAGAACTAACAGATTCGTCATTTGGGGTTTGGCCCTTGTTCAAGTAGGCGTTTGAAGTTTGAACCATGTTTTATTTGAAGTTTAAAATATTTGATACTAAAAATGATAGCGAGAAAAAAAAAAAAAAGGATCAGAACATCATATGTTTCAAGTTAAAGAGGATAGAATATATCAAATTGTAATAACTATTTATACACGGAATACAAACTCAATTTTTAATAATTTATTTAAACAAGCTTGACCGAATAATTTTTTGATTATATATTAATCCATTAGAACTCTACAAAATTAGCAAGGAATATTAATACACCAGTATATAGAGCAGCAAATTTATAATCACCTTGGAGGTGGGATGAGTGAAAAGAATTCGATATGCATTATACATGTGTAATGGGGTTTTACCGGTGTTTACACTCAGTATTTTAGGTTTATGGGTTCCGACAGAAATCTCAAATTAATATATAATAATAACCGGATTAACGGACTGAGTTCCAAACTAAATATTTTTATATATTTAATGAATTTTTCAATACAACACATGTCCCAGATAAAATTTACTGAGTTCACGAGAACCCGTAGCTACTGCACTGAATTGCCCTTGTTTACACCAAATCATAATAACTTATCATAATTAAATAATTTATTAAAATGAGAATATTTATTAATTAACTATGATCAAGTGATAACAATAATATCATGCATTTATCCGTGTGGCATAAACATTAGGTGCGGGAATTTTTTTTACCGTAAATTAAGTGTCCATTTTAGTTTTCCTTTAAATATTAATGTGATACCATATACTAACATTCAAAGAAGAGTTTTAAGTAACATTTTTTATTTTCTGCTTCGCTGTGATGCAAAATTCAACTAATGCGTAATTAAGCTTGAGAATTGAAGGGAAAATATCAGGGATGTAGGTTTCCAAGATAAGAGTCACAAGGAGTTCTATAGGAGAAAACCTAATTGCGAAGTTTCTTACTTTTTCTTAACTGTGGAGCTTGTATTAGTGGGAAAAAGGCATGATACGTGGAGCAATAGCGAGGTGACAAGTGGCATTTATAATTGGGTCAATAAAGAAAGATAGAAAGTCACGGATAAAATACCCACATAGAAGGTATCATATCTGACAGCTGGAAAAGAGAAAATAGGTACGAGATATATGCATATCATAAAAGGGAAAGATTCATGAATCGATCGTAAATATGGAAGGGGAATCAATATTAGCTTTGATTACGTGCGATCCTTTATTATTACCATAGCCGTTACAATTAAATTTGATAACGAGAAATCAAGGCAATTAATGACATTAATGAGTCAGAATTAAGTAGGAAAATTGTTACAACTGTGTATCCTTATATAAGGACCCTTACCTCATTTTGTATGATCATCTGAATATCTCTAAATATATGCAATTAGTCTTTTATTTTATTTGATTCAAGATTCCAGTCTGCAATTCTAGGGGAGATTAGCAATCAACAATAAATATTCTTTCCTTTACCTATTATTTAAATTATTTATTTTATTACTATATTACTAAGAAAGTGAAGTAATTTTGGTTATCAGTAACCTGATTTTCCTTAATATTAGCTTTGACCATAAAAACTATTTTTGGATTAAACAGAGCTTAAGAAGTACTTGTATATACATCGTAATTACATTGTAACCGAGTGCTAAGGAGCTAAGCTACACAATGACTAGTAACTAACTCCTCAAAAGATCATTCTTAGAGCATCTCCAACCCTTCACTCCAAATCTTTACTCCAAAATAGAGTAAATTAACTCCAACTATTACTCAATTTTTCACTCCAAAAAAATACTATTTCTTTTTATATTCTTCTCCCTCTTCTATATTATATTATTATCTTTTATTTAAATTTTATTTTCTTATTTCCATTAAACAAATCCTATCTTTTTTTTCTTTTTATTACATATTCATCCCATATAATTCATATTTCTTTCTTATATAACCATTAAATTTTTAAATAATATAATTTGTACGCAAATATATAGATTGTACATATTAATGGATAATTCAAATAAAAGTGAAATCATTGAGATACAAGATAATTCAATACATATTACATGTAGCTTAAAATTTAGTTTAAATACTACCGAAATATTCAACTTCCACCTCTAGTATGCTCCCATAAATGATCTATTAGTGCATTACAAAGTGCAAAATGAGCATCTTTGTCCTTAGTTTTTTTGTGTCGACCTAAAAAAATTTCAAATCGATGATTTTCATCTACTACCATTTATACTGTTGGGGTTGGACCTTCCCAAGTATCTTGAATTGGTGCATTAAGATCATGCTCATCCTCGATTATCATGTTGTGCAGTATAATACATGTTGTTATTATATCGTGCCCTACAATAATTGCAAAACGAGCTTGCAAAACTCCGAATGCACGTTCAGCATCTTTTCGACATGATTCTTAATTCATCGCGAAATATTTCTTCTTTGGCGAACATGGCTAGTTTGCACAAGGGTAGACCATTTTGGTTATATACTGTCAGCTAAATAATAACCCACATCATATTCTTTTCCTTGAATAACGTAATGGGCGAGAGGAGCAACATTTTGTATTTTATATTTTCACCTTTCATTTTTGTGATGGTTCTATATTTTTTTATACAATTATAACTTATAATAAATTAAGGCAAAATACATAAGTAGCCACTTGAACAATACACCAAATCCTTGTTACATACTTTTGGGAACAAAAATCACTTTACACATCCAACCTTCTTTAAAATGTGTCTAAGACACACCAATTCTACGTGGCACGCGAGTGTGTAACAACAAATGTAAGAGCATGAACCCTTTAAAAAGCATTCCCAAATTTGGTTAAGTGCCACATGTCAGAATTTTATATATTTTCTTTTTTTTTAATTAGTGTGCCCCTATAACCCCACCCTCTCCTTGTGACGATCCAACCCGTCGTCACGTGAGTTACCCCCCCCCCCCTCCCGTTTTCCCTATTTTCTATTTTTTTATTCTTCATTATCAGTGTTGGGGGTGAACGAGTTGATTTGGAGTGGTTCTAGAAGGAAATGAGACACTTAGTCTCTTTAAGGAAGGTTTGTTTTGGAAAAGTCAATCGGACGTTGACTTACGTGTTAGAGGGCTCGGATATGAATTCTGATGTTTCGGTTAGCTTCGGGGGATGATTTGTGACTTAGGAGTGTGATCGGAAGTGATTTTGAAGGTCCGGAGTAGAATTAGGCTTGAATTGGCAAAGTTAGAATTTTGGCGAATTCCGGTCGATAGGTGACATTTTGATCCGAGGGTCGGAATGGAATTACGAGAGTTGCTGTAGCTTCGTTATGTGATTTGGGATGTGTGTGCAAAATTTCAGGTCATTCGGAGGTGATTTGGGTAGGTTTTTGATCGAATGCGTGTTTCGGAAGTTTTGGAAGAACTTAGGCTTGAATTCGATGAGAAATGATGGTTTTAGTGTTGTTTGAGGTGTTTTTATGATTGGAACAAGTCGGGATGATGTTATAGGAGGTGCTGGTGCTTTTGGTTGAGGTCCCGGGGACCTCGGGGTGATTTCGGATGGCTAACGGGAAGTTTTGAACTTAGGAGATTGTAGAAACTGTGCTGCTTCTGGTATTTTCGCTTCTGCGGAAATGGGACCGCAGAAGCGGTACCGTAGAAGCGAGTCAGGAACTGCAGAAGCGACAGGCATCGCAGGTGCGGAGATGCCGACCGCATCTGCGGAGTCGCAAATGCGACAATAGGACCGCAGATGCGGAATTTTGGAAGGCTAAAGGAAAAAACGCATCTGCGTAAAAGGAATCGCAGATGCGGGACCGCAGAAGCGGTCTAGTCATCACAGAAGCGATTTTGTCCGCAGAAGCGACTCATAACCGCAAAAGCGGAAGTCGCAGATGCGGCTAAGTAGCCGCAGATGCGGAAATAACTGGTCAGAAATGGTTCTATTTCCCTTCGCGAATTTTTGAAAGGGTTTCATATTTTCACTTCGGACTTGGAGAATTTGGACGAGTTGGAGGAGAGAAATCAAGGGACTTCATTGAGGTAAGAATTTCTAAGCCTAAAACACGATTATATGGTGCAAACACATGAAATTAGATTGAAAACTCAAGGAATTAAAGGTCAAAAATGGTGATTTAGGGCTTGAAACCTAAGAGAGCAAAAATGGGAATTGAGGGGTCATTTGGACTCCGATTTTTGTGTTCTTTATATGTATAGACTCGTGGCGAGATAAGGAATCCGTTGATGGTAAATTTTCTGACTTTCGAGAAGTGGGCCCGGGGCTCGGGTTTTTGCTAATTTCGGTACACGAGGAGGTTAATTCGAAAGGCAAAGGCATAGCAAGCTAGGACTTTGGCCGACTTGAGGTTAGTAATAAATGTAAATGCTGTGTTGAGGGTTCAAAACCCCGAATTTGCACAACGTAGTGCTATGTGAGGTGACTTGCACGCCGGATAACGGGCGTGGGGTAGAGCACCGTCGGGGATTGTGACTTGGTCCGTCCCGTTTAATAAAATTACTACCTAATTGATTGTAGATTTGTAATATCCTTATAAAAATGGATTAATTATCATAATTGGGCTTCGTGCCAACTACTTGAATCCTTCAGGGATTGTTTTTACTGGCTTCTTACCATACTTATAGATATTGAACTCAGTCCTGACATTTAATACTGTTTTGTAAACTCAGCCATTTTTCTCAACGTAGAAACTAAATTAATATTTTTAAATAAAGATTGGGCTGAATATTTTTATACCATTGTGCCGAGAGGCTTATGTGATTTTGGACTGAGTATGGGATCGGGATGCACGCCGCAGCGGTATGATATAGATATTGATATGAGGCCGAGGGCCTGTTTGATGCCACGATATGGCTTATTATTGCGCTTGGGCCGTAAGGGGCCCCTCCCAGAGTCTGCACACCCCCAGTGAGCGCCGTCGACGATAAATAAATGGAGCGGGCTGCACGCTGCAGCGGGTACTGGAGAGTACCGATTTATGTGTTGCATTGCATATTTAATTTTCATTTATTCTTAATCTGTTGTGATATTATTATAATTGTCTTCACTGTTTTA